TTTAATTCTAAATGGGAGGGTGAGGCTGGCCTTCCAAGTCCAGAAGAGTGGAAGGAGGTGATCCAGGTAAAACAAAAAGTAGGTTCTCTACTGAAAAGAAAGGAACAGCACAAACAAGGGGAGATGAAGGATGGTAAATTAGAAGAAATGCAGAGTATCAGCTCCCTGGAAAGCAAACTGTTGTGAAGCTGGAGTCTGAAAGAGGCTCAGATAATGCTGGGCAAGGTGGGGTGACCCAAGTTGGTCAGACAGGCTAGGAGGGAGAGATGAGAGCTAAACATATAATCTTATTCCTTTGGATTTTTTTTTTTTTAATCCAGGCATTAAGATCAAAATTTCATCCAATCTCTCCATGGTGTCTTCAGCACATACTCAGTGTCACCCCATCTTTGTCTTTCCTGTGTTCATTAATTTATACTGCTCTGTTCCCAATTTCAATTCCCTGGACACTTCTAACATACTTATCAAGAATCAGCCAGAAGTTTTTGCTTTTGATAACTCTTTAAAAAGAAATAAAATTTTAAAATGCATTAAATAGTGTTGAACACACTTTTAAAGAAGTTTTTTTATCTAGTTGGCCCACTTTAAGAAAAAATATAGTCACAGAAAAACTTAAAAATAGTGACAGCCAAGTATTTATATAACTGTTCCTACTGAATATGAAACCCTGATTTTGCTAAGTCCCTTTCTCCCACTAACAGGACATAGCCTGTAGGAACTGATGGCTTATAGAAGGCATGAAACTAAAAATGTATTAGACTGAGATTTCTCAGAAAGCAAGAAAATACAAAAAAAAAAAATAAAATTAAATAAAGTTCTTTTAGAAGTTGATTGTAACTTAAAGTATCACAAAATACTGCTAAGCATTTTTATCAAGAAGGATACTGAAATTTACCAAAAACTTTTACAATTTCTTATAAGGTTTATGCCTTTTTCTTTGATCTCTTAAAACGAAAATTTACATTTGATAGGACTGATTTATTTAACATTACCCTTGCACCCCCAGTAAAAGCTCAGCTTGAGCTACTTGTTATCATGGATCTACATTCTGACCAAATTTAGTAATTGAGTTTAGTGTTCTTGTTTCTTAGTGAGATGTTAACCTATAATTTTAGTTTCCTGTACATTTTTGTTGTTGTTGTGGTATTTCAGTCAGAATGTGTAGTCTTAATACTTAGGATTTGTTTTCTTCAGTTTTTGTACTTTTTTTTTTTTTTTTTACTTGAGAAAATCCTTTCATGTATATTCATTTTAATTACTGGTAGGCTTAGATTTACCTCTACCATATTATGGTCTTTGTATTTCTACATTCTTTCTTTTTTCCTTTCTTATTGTTTTTGTTCTTTTGTAGAAAGTTCATTTTCCTCATCTCTATCCCACTGCACTCCCTTAGAAGTGAGCCTGTGGGTGTGCCTTTTAGTGCCACTTTGGCCTGCTTTTACAGGCACCTAATGCTAGTAAGTAGCCAGACTTCTAACCCTTTAATGTATCTAAATGTTGTTCCTGTCATCTAGTGTTTTAGCTTTATGTATTTGTTCTACAAATTTTGCCTTTAAATTTAATTTTATGCAAGCATTATTTATTCATAATTGTCCATGTAGTTCACTTTTTGCTTTTAATTCTTATAATCAAATGTTACTCATGAGAACACTAACATTTTAAGTGATTTTCTTTAGTGGTGCTCTTGTAAATGGCTCAGTGGGCATGGTTTTTTGGTTTTGGTTTTGGTTTGTTTGAAAATATCGTTTATTGTGTCTCCTTTGGAGAGTGCTGCCATGAATGTAATTTTAAGAGGAGAATTAACTTTTCTCAGCATAATCAACACAATTGAACTACTTCTTGGTATTTGCTTTTTAATAAGTAAGTTATTAATTTCCCCTTTTTCTATTTAATTTACACTTTCCCTTTGGACTCATTAGAATGTGTATTCGTCTTTTTTCTGTGAATTTGTTATAGGTTTTAACAGATTCTATTTTGGATTTGTTGGACTACTTTGTGCATTCTTTTTAACCAAAACATTTGTTTTTCTTTAGGTATGATTTTGTCCCCTTTCTGTTACCATCATCTTGAATTTTGCTTTAGACATATATTAAGCCTTTTCATCCTGTCTTACATATCTTATAAGTTTACCTGCTTACATTTTACCTGTTCATGACTGTATGCTTCCTTCTGAGTAATTCTTTTGGATTCATCATCTCAATTCAGTAGTCCTCTTTCTAGTTGCATTTTAACATTTATTAACAGTTCCTTTGTTTCAGTTTGGGTGATTTCTGTTGAGTTACATCATTTTTTAACTTAGTTGAGTCTAATAATGAGTAAAGCATCCTTCATCTCTGTTACCACATTTTTTGTTTGTAACACTTACATGTTACTCTTACATTTCTTACGTGTGTCTTCTGAAATTTCCCATCTAAATGTTGTATAAATTTTTCCAGAGGGCCCTTATTATATTAATTGTCGTTGTTTTAAATTCTTTGTTGTAGCATATGGATCAGTCCTTATTTTCATAATGCTCTGTTGATTGCCTTGTGTTTTGGTAATGTGAAGATTTTTTAAAACCTATCTTTATGGGAGTCATAATTTTTATGTATGCTTTTAATTTTAGATTTAATGCTTGGTATTATATAGAGCAGTTAAGACTTAAAGGTGATAGATTTTAGACCTGGAAAGGAACATATTTCTTCTAGTAGAGTTTTAGTAGGGTTGGAATTTTTATTTATATAGTTAGTTTCGGTGTCCTACTTGTTCCAGATTTCTCTTATGTTACGTGGTACTTAGATTTAGGAAGATATTTCTACAGTATTCCTGCTCCACTCTCAGGTTGTAGATCTTCCCTGTGCTCTTGTGCTGCAGACTGAGGCTCTTTTCTGGTTCCTATCCTTCCTCTAAATGAAAATTGCTGGGTTGGCCAAATAGCTCAGCGGACTAAAGCGCGTGCATAGGCAGGGCTCAGCGGCTGGGTTTCGATCCCCAGTGAGGCATGCCAGCCCCACTGCTAGGGCATGCAGAGATGGCAACTGAGACTGGGCGTGGTGGTGCGCACCTGTAATCCCAGCGTTTGGGAGGCTGTAAACAGTCTCAGTCACTGGCTCAGTTTGCCCTGGAGGCGGGGCCAGCACAGATGATGGTGCCAGGGTTCGCTCTGCCTAAACAGGTGCTTTAATCTGCTGAGCCCTCAAAGCCTTATGTAGCCATAGGAGAGTGCTTTTCAGAGGTGGCTGGATCTAGAAAACCATGCTGAGACCAAGGATATTTGATTACTAAATCCTGAGTAGGATTAAAGGTTCCCCCCGCCCCCCGTTGTGAGTGTGACCCACCTTAAGGGCACATAGCCTGTATAAGATGTAAGGGAAGAACAGGGTCACTGCTTCTGCCTGGCATGAAATAGTTCTCCTCTGCATTACCCCTCTGCCATGCCATCTTGCCATGGAGCCAGTCAAGTATGATCTGCAGTCTCTGCAAACTGTGAGCTAAATAAAGCTTTCCTCCTTTAACTCAGGTGTCAGGTATTTTGTCTCAGCAACAAGAAAAGACACTACAGTACTTGTAAAAGGCTTCGTGCATTATAGGAATATGATCTGGTCCTGGACTACTGTTTTTTCATCTTTAATTCTGCCCATTTTTCTTCTCCAGCCGCTGGTTTTCATCCTTCTGTCCTCTCATAATGAAATTTCATTGTAGTTGCATGGTAGTGCTTTTTTGTTACTGTCATTTTTTCATTTTTTTGCTTTTTGTTACTGTGGCTTTGATTTTTGCAGCACTTAGGGAGTGAGCCCAGGACATTGTGCATGCTAGGCTCATGCTCTACCGCTCTGCTGCATCCCACCCTGAGCTCTGAGTATTGGGATTATAGGCAGGAGTGTGCCACAGGCCCAGCTCAAGTGCCTTCATACAAGGTTTTGTTTTTGTTTTTGTTTTTTTTTTTTTTGGCCAATTGCTTATGTACATTATCAGTCCTGAACTTCTTTAAATTTACTTTGTGCATAACATCTTATGAATTCAAACTATAGAGCTGCATGAGGATGGGTTGTGGCGCTGAATTCTCAGGTGAGAAGAGCTTTTATTTGGTTGCTCCCCCACTCCCTTCTATTACTATCAGACAAGTTTTCTCCTTGGCCCCTCTGCTTACACCTCGCTCATCTCTCCAATTGGATTCTAGCTATTTGGGATCAGCTTTGTGAGATCTCCTATTGGAGTTTTCAACTTTGCTAAGTAGTTTTGTCCAGTTTCATTGTTTTAACCATCAAATGGAAATGTTTATGAAATTATTTTTAATCTCATATTTTTAATACAGCAGTTATATATTTTGTGTTCGATTAGAACTTTTTGAAGGCATTTAATCATTTACATTCATGCACTCATGAAGTTTTTTTTTTTTTTTTTTTTTTATTTATTTGTTTGTGTGTGTGTGTGTGTGTGTGTGTGGCCAGCTCAGCCCACCAGGGGGCGGGGCAGGCTGGCATGTGGTGCTGGGGGATTTGAACCGCGGTCCCTGTGCTTTGCCACGCCTGTTCCAAATAGGTGCTTTAGACCACTGAGCCATCTCACCAGCCCCTCATGAAGTTATTTTTTAATCTCACATTTTTAATACAGCAGTTATATATTTTGTGTTCAATTGGAACCTTTTGAAGGCATTTAATCATTTACACTCATGCAATAAAAGCTATTTTGTAATTAGACTAACTTAGAAGTTACAGTTATTGAATGTGTAGGTGTACTTAGCAGCCTTCACTTCTGGTAAGTGACTTTAGCTGGAGGATATGTGTTTATGTGTACAGAGAGACTGTTTCCTGAAAGGAAGCTGTGGTCTCTAGGTCCTTCTAATCACAGCGTCTTCGATCTTTTGAGCACGTAAACTTTGTCTTATGTGGACTGTGTTCTTGAAGCAGTTTCTTGCCAGAAATAAATGAAGCATCCTGATGAGTCTTTTAAGACTCCATAGACTGTCAGTAACATGGAAAAATTGGATATTTAATCAGGAGTGTGAACATGTGTTTCAGGTAGAGAATTCTAAAGATAATGAAGACAGTATTCTACAAAGAGAAATTCCTGCCAGACAGTCTCGACGAAGGTTTCGAAAAATAAATCATAAAGGAGAGCGCCAAACCATAATTGATGATGTGGACATTAATAGCTATCTTTCTGTGAGTATATTTAGGAAAATTTCATGCATCTTCCTTAATGTACACGTATGGCATCTTTAATTGACATGTTTTTTGGTAAATACCAAGACTTTACATGTACAAGCTTTGGACAGGCAGTTATACCTGTATAATTTTGAAGAATATTGCTTCATTAAATGGGTTAGAAATATTCTTAGAGTGGGAATTTTGCTTTTGTTTTAAATCATGTAAACCCCCCCCTTTTCTAAAGAAATATCCATGTAATTTATTGCCTAAATGGTGTATGGGGTATAGATTAGAGTCCACAAACCCAGATAATAGGCTCATGAAGAGCTTTTCTTCTAATATGATTGAAGACATATAAAAAAATAAAAATACAGCAGTTCTTCCCTTGGGATATGGAACAAATATATATATTGTTTATCAATGCAGAAATGTACAAATGTTCAATGTATCTTTTCATGTGAAAATATTAAAAAATAAGCAGATGAAGTATTAATTTTTGTAACAGGAGAGATACAAGTTATTTCTTCAGAAATCTTTAATTTGCTTGTTTTAGAAAACTTTTTAGATTGAAAAATAGCTAAATTGAAGAAGAGAGGGTAACCTAAGGATGAACAAATCTATGTGTTTTTGGTTTGGTGGTTTGTTTGTGTTTGTTTGTTTGCAGCAGTTTCTTGCCAGAAGTCCTGCTGAGCCTTTATGAGTCTTTTCTATTGGACCCATAATACTGGAGACTGAACCCAGGGCCCCATGTGTGCTTGGCAAGTGCTCTACCTCTGAGTTACCTCCCTAGTCATCTAGGTGTATTTGAGCTGACAGGTTCTACAGTTAGCTATTTTCCAAGGACTTGTGATCGTCAGACTATAAGAAGTGGGACCAGGCGTGGTGATGCACACCTGTAATCCCAGAACTCAGGAGGCTGAAGCAGGATGCTCACCTTGAGTTTGAGACTAACCTGGACTACCTAGTGAGTCCAAAGCCAGCCTAAACTATACTGTGAGACCCTGTCTCAAAAAAACAAAAAAAGGATACAAGACGTGTACAACTTTTTTCCTGTTTGTGTCTCTGTAAGTGTTAATCAGGGGAAAAGGGATATTGATAACAAAATTTTGGGCTTTATAGTTATCAAAAATAGAAATATAGTCATTCTGTATTCACAATAAGAAAGATTTAGGAAAGTGCTTCTGCAGCTTCTAAAGATTTTGTCACATCTGCCTAATTTCATTGATTAAATGCATTCTATATCTGAAAACAAATAATACCTGTCACAAAATGTATTATTGCATCCATACTGTACAAGGCTCATTTCTTATTATTTAATAAATTTTATACCATATATCACTAATCAATGTAAATTACATTATTTTACCTTATGTGCATATGTTTGAAAAATTAAAAATTCATTCACATCACCTACATAACTATTAGTAGGCATTTCATAAAGTTTTGTTTTTGTGTTTTGTTTTGTTTTTTGTTTTTATTTATTTATTTATATTGCAGAACCAGGGATTGAACTCAGACTCTTGCGCTTGCCAGGGAAGCACATATTCCACTGAGCCATCTCCCCAGCCCCTGTTTTGTTTTGTTTTAAGTCAGGGTCTTACTATAAAGTTCAGGCTGGCCTTGAACTCACTTGCATCCTCCTGTCTCACCCCGAGTGCTAGGGTTATAGGCGTGTGTCACCACCTGCAAGATTTAAAAGTTTTTTGTTTTTTTTTAACTTTAAAACCTAAATATATCATGTCAAAGTCCTTGAATCCTGTTAGATGATCTTTGAGACAATTATTCTTAGTAATTACATAATACTTCTTTATACTAGTATGCCATAATTTATTTGGCTCCCGGTATTTGGTAATTTAAATTGTTTAGATTGTTTCCACTTCTGCAATATTTTATTTTGATGAACACAGGTTAACTGTACATATTAATGAAGTTCTGTGTGATGTTTTAACACTTGCCTACAGCATATAATGATCAAACCCAGCCTTTACCTATCACCTATCGGTGCCATGCCCCATTTTTCTCAACATACAGAAAGCATTGTTTTTCTCTCAGATCAGCTTTTTTTAATCTTCTACATATGAGAGAGAGAGAGAGCATATGGTGCTTGTCCTTCTGTGTCTGGCTTATTTACTTAAATAATTAAGCTTATCTGGTTTCATTTTACCATAAAAGACAGACTCCATTTTCCTTTATAGTGAATAACACTATGTATATTATATATAAGATCATGTAGAATTACATATAAAATTATATGTACATATAATTTTCTTCATTCACTTGTCTCTTAGTTGGTAGCTAGGTTGATTGCATATCCTGTACTATGAATAGGGCCACAGTAAGCATGGTAATGTGACATCTTTGTCACGTGTTCCATTTCGTGGATGTGTACCCCAAAGTAGGATAGCTGCAGCATATCACATGATGGATCTATTTTTAGTTGTTTTCAGTAACCTTAAATCTCTCCTCGACTATGGCTTTGCTATTTCTCATTTCTACAATAGTATGTGAGAGTTGCTTGCTTTTCCATCTCATGAGCATTTTGCTTTGGATATTACTCATTTTTTTATATTACTCATTCTCACTGGGATGAAATACCTCATTGTAATTTTTATTTTCATTTCTTAGATAGCTAATGATAAGAAACACTTTATGTATTCGTGGGCCATTTATATTTCTTTTCCCACTTTCTCCTCTTCACTGGGGATTGAACCCAGGTCCTTGCTCATGCTAGATGAGGGCAGTTCTTTTTATTTTAAAACAGGGTCTCACTAATTTGCTCAGACTAACCTGAACTTGAAATCCTCCTGCCTCAGTCTCCTGAGTAGTTGGGATTACAAGTGTGTGCCATCACTCTTAGCTTTTTATTTCCTTTAAGAATATCTGTTTAGATCATTTGCCCATTTAGTTCAACTAAATGGAGTTTTTGTTGTTGTTGTTGTTAAGGTTTTTGAGTTCCTTCTACCTGATGGATAGTAATTATGTCAAATGAATAATTGTCAAATATTTTTTCCCATCTGTGCCTTACCACTTCATTCTGGCAGTTGTTTTCTTTGTTGCATAGAGCTGTTTCATTTGATTCAATTCCATTTATCTAAGTTTGCTTTGCTTATTTGTATTTTGGAGGTCATAGCCAAACAATTTAGGTCATAGCCTATACCAATGTCCTAAAAATGTTCCCTCTATGTTTTCTTCTAGTAATTCCAGAGTTTCCTAGGTTTCTTGATCCTTTTTACTTAATTTTTATATAACATAAGCAGTACAATTGTTTCAAGTCTTCTCTGTATGGATATCCATTTTCCTCAGCACCATTTAATAAAGCGACTGTACTTTCTCCAATATATGAAGTGTAATTAAAAAACATAGTAAAAAAAAGAAATAAAAAATTTTTAAATTATTTTTTAAATTTATTACAGGAAAAGACATATTCCCCTCAAAATACTCCCTCTTGCTTCTAAAATCCTTAATCCATCATTCTTGTCCCCCCCCCTTTTTTTTTTCTTTTTGGTGCCTGGAATTGCACTCACAACCTCACACTTGCCAGCCAGGCACTGTACCACTGAGGTATATCTCTGGCACTCTTGTCACTTTCTGAAGCAGTTCTGGAAAGTGTCTTTTGTGAATACCTTTAGTTGCACCGCCATGGTTGCTACACGCTGAACGATTGAAAACGTTTACCTTTGTTGATTATTTTAGCTTTGGGAAACAGCATGTCTGGTGCTAGATGCTTTGAATAAGGTGGCAGGAATGATGACATAAAGGTGCTCAAGATGTGTGGGGAGGGATTTCTATTTATTTATTTATTTATTTATTTATTTTTTGGTGGAACCGGGGATTGAACTCAGATCCTTGCGTTTGCCAGTCAAGCGCTTATCCTACTGAGCCATCTCCCCGACCCCGGATTTCTTTTTAAAGGGAACAGTGTCATTGTGTCTTTTTTTTTTTTCTTGTATAGTATTAGTTTTGGTGATGTTATCAAAATATTCTGTCTCTCTTGGGTAATTTTTATTTGTAAATTAGTCAATTCATGTTACTTTTACACTATCTTGCAACAGTAGACAGGGAATATCTTTACCACTAAAGGACAGTGCATATCCATCCACATAAATGAAGCATTTTATTCAATTATATCAAGAAAGTACCTTTAATACTAATTTAAACAATTCAAAATACTACCTTGATAGTTTCTAAATTATTCAAAACACCCACTTTCCCACTAAGTTTGGTGACCTACTGCAATATGCTGCGTAAGACTTCACCCTGTATCACTCTGGTTTTCTTGATTACCGTGCCCTGTTTCCATGTGCCATCAGCTCGGAGTTCCATTTCCTAGAAACATTTGAACACTCATTAGAACAGTTTGCCTGATAACCTGACCACCTCCTCCAGGTTGGTGTTTTTTTTTTTTTTTTTTTTTTTTGGTGGAACCGAGGATTGAACTCAGACCCTTCCACTTGACAGGGAAGTGCTTATTCTACTGAGCCATCTCCCTGGCCCCTCCTCCAGGTTTTAAACAGCAAAGAATGTTGCTTGTGCCAGTCAGAATCTGATACCAATTAAATGGTGACAGCTTTGCCAATAAACAAGAATATGCTCTTCCATGGCTAGGAAGGGAGACTGCCACAACCAATAGGTCCCAAAGACACATGGAGTTTCATTGTGTCTTTTCTTGTCATGATTTTTTGTTTAAAAATATTTTGATAGGGCTGGGAAGATAGCTCAGCAGTCTCTTATAAGCGCCAACCTGGCAAGCACAAGGACCCAAGTTTGATCCCTGATACTACTATGGGCCCTGGAACTGGGTGTGGTGGCACACACCTATAACCCCAGTACTGGGGAGGGTAAGACAGGAAGATCATTAAGAGTCTAAACTCTGTGCTGAGACCCTGTATCAAAAGCAATATTTTGATCACATTGTGTATGTTTTTAGTATCCTTCTTAAGAATCAGTTGGCTGTAGATGCCTGGTACTATTCTTGAGAGTCTTGATCCATTGGTTTATGCCAGTACCATTCTGTT